ACTAAATAATTTACAACCATCCAATCAAAGATGGAAGAAAACATATATTATTACACATACGAGTATTTAAAAGAATTTGGAGAAGGGCCAAGAATAAGGAATTCGACACAAAGAAAGCCCGTCATAATCCAAAGAACTGATGTCAATGGCTTACACATCCCCATTTCAGTCTATGGACAAAGCAGGAATATAATGAACAATGTGGCTGTTAGCAAACACGATACATTTTACAATGCTAAACCACAACAAAAGTGAAATCAATAAATGACTGGTTTTCGAGAGGAAAATTCTAAGAAAAAAAGGTTGGCCCAAGTAAAGAAAATGACAGCTGGCGAATGAAAACAAATCAAGAATTAAATCAGTTAACTAACTATAGAAATATTATAAATTTTATGCGTGCACAAAATTCTCATGGCTTCGCCACGTAGAAGGAATGCCAACCAACAATCAGTTAAAAGTCTGTATTCATGGATACCATTAAGTACAACGCCAGTGGGCAGACACAAAATACGATGGGAGGAAGATGTTAAAGCTGACACTAAGAAGATGAAGGTACCAAATTGGAAGATAACAGTCCAGGATAGGACCAAGTGGAAAGGTGAGGTTGAGAAGACCAAAACTCTACGTGAGTTGTGGCGCCAAACTAGAAGAAGAAGAGGAAGGAGAAACGATAACAAAGTTAATGACTATACGAAACGGTCAAGATGTTGAAATATTAGGAAGCAGCACTTCGGTGGTTCCCTGAATGTCTTGAAGAGTTGCCACAAAAAGGGCTTGAGGATCTCACAGTGGTGGTTATGAAGAATTCTTTCTTCTGGGATATAATGCTGTATAGCTCGTTGAAACTCAACCGACGTTTTGGAAGAACATGTCGCCTCCATCTTCAGGGTCAAAAAATAAGCCGACCAAGAAATCAACGTTAAAGCAGGTGGCAAGCACAGCTTTTCGACCTTTGAGATGGAGGCGACATTTCCTCTGAAAGGTCGGTTGACTTACAAAGGGCTACAAGGCGTTATATCGCAGACGATAGAAATCTCGGTAAAGATGGAGGACGACGTGGACACGTCGGAAGGAACAGGGGGGGGGGGATCTGCCACGAGGATGAATTTGGAGGATGGAGAGGTAGTACAAGGTGTGTAAATAACCATATCATGCATGTGCTCTTACGAGTAAACTACTGAATAAAGTAGATGTGGGTGGCACTTCGTATTTGGGAGGTCCCATCCTCAAATCTCGGCCCGGTGACCAGCTGGTTCGACGTTTTCGTGGTTATCATTCCCCCCACGCAACTGAAGGGGTAGTGCGTGTGCCTCACGTTGAGCACGACTACTTCCCAACACTTCCTTTCCAATCCATTATTCGCTTACCATCTTGGACGGTATTCAGTCTGAGTTGTTGGCAGAGTCATTAAAAATAAGCAAATAAATAAGACGAGAACACTAGCCAAGAAGGGTGTGGTAGCGCACAGAAGAGCAGACGCTTCAAATTAACTCTCACATGCTGCTTCCAAATCTGGGTACAAATACTTCCACATCACGTTACAATTTTGCGTACTGAATTTTGAGCAAAAAGAGCACATTTCTTTTCATTTTTACATTTCCTTCTTACTGGTAATGTTCTTATAATTTATGATAACCAGGAGATTTTGTTGGCATGACGATGACCACTTACCGCGATTAAGAATACATGGATATACACCTCCACTCCTGATACACCTGCGTCACGTTGTGCTTAATTAATTAACGAGGTAGTTATTTTCGTGGCTGCCCAAGAATATGCCAAGCATCAACAGTCAAGGCAGAAGGGTGATCATCCACCATACACTGCGCATACACTGCCTATAAGATGATGATATCGTCAACAAAACAAAACAAACTCGGTGGTTTAGTTCGCAAGTGAACTATACCGACCGAGCGACCGCCGCTTGTCGGCGAAGTTAGTGCCAGCTTTAGCGGATAGAGGGCGTCGCGTGGTAAGCGCAACGAATCCCCACGGCCGTTAATTTCGGTTTTCTAGACCGAAGCCGCTACTTTTCCATTCAAGTAGCTCCTCAGTTATCCTCATGAGGCTGAGTGGACCCCGTTTCAGACCCTCTACTTCTCAGAAAATCTTGTAGCGCCGGGAATCGAACCCGGGACCTCTGGGTCTGTAGCCAGGAACTCTGACCACTAGACCAGAGAGGCGGTCCAGAAATACCAAAGACCATCCTTATTCACGGGCTCCATATCAGTGATAACAGACGCCTGTTTGATAGCACATACATTCGTACCTCAATATCATATTACAACGGAACTACTTTTACTATTCATACAAACAACTGAGAACACCTCGTATCCATAAGCACACTTGGAAACATGAACCTGGGGCATCACTTGCAAATGCAATGGAAAACCAGAGAATTCAGTGCCCCAGCACTGGATGCAGATGGAATGGTTGGTTAGTTTCACACTCAAGAGGCTGGATAAATCCAGTGCCGTTCTGCGCATGCCGTTCTTTTCTCACACTACTACCAAACTCGATGGCCAAAAACTGATCAGTGTAATCCAAGCTATCATGTTTCTTAAGCATTAAACCGCATTCTCAGACGTAAAGGGTCTGTACAGCTTACAAGTTAGAGATGATGACTAGATCATAAACACAAACTTTCATGTTTACACTTAACACAACATTTTATACAATTACTGACTTTTTGGACATCATCCACCGTCGTGATTTTTTACTTAAAAACATGTGTTTCGGAAACTGGATTCTGCTTCCATCCTCAGGTAGAAGCCTACTTAGACGGACTCAATCGACAGAGCTAGTCCCTATCTCCGGAGATGGGCGTTATATGCCAGAAGACAGCATCCTTCGCAACGACCGCTGTGATAACCTCAAATCCTACAGCTAATTAACGACTCCATACAGTACAGCCCTTTTGAGAAAACCGGTCAGGATATTCCTTGCCGCTGATGAAACAGTGACTCTGACACCTCAAGCCAAAACTCTAACTGTATATAACAGTCAGAGTTGCAGGATCCGAACTTGATCTTATAGCAGGAACCCTTGACCCTTTCGTTTGGCTGCAATGGGAAGAGAGAAGAAACAGTATCTCCCATCCTGGCTTCAGAATCAGACCTACGAACAGAAGTAACTCTTCATAGACAGGTGGGTCCCAAGTACAAAACCTGAATTCTACGTTTTTTTTTCTAAATTTCATATCTTAGGGTTGAAAGGACATAAAAAGGATTTTAAGAAAAGCGGCCCCTGTAATCACAGCTGGATCAGGATCAGATGCCGTTAAATAAAGAAGAACATTTAATTTAGTTCGTGTTTTCACATAAGAAATAAATCGAATTTTTTCACGCGGCTTTGTTCCGATTTCTGTAAAGACAAACATTCTATGTGCCACGCAATTATCTACGGTAGGACATCTGACAGGGGAAATAATTTTCTCTTCAATAACACTCCAAAACGGCCACTCATACCCATTCAGCTTCCTATATGACGGCAAGTAAGTTCCTCCCTACGGGGGGTCAGAGCGGCCATCTCATTTGAGCGTTTTATCTTACAAAGTACGGAGCTTTACCACTTCGCCCTCCATACGGTTTCATGGCAAGCCTATTATACAGAAGGTCCCTTTAAATTACCATAGAGTTGCGCAATTCCTTTTCTCATATCTGCAGTTGGTTTTCGTGGCTGGGAAGCTGAAGAACGTGTGTGAATATCTTCCATATTCCTAAACACAACGTAAATGCATATCTGGAATATAAGCACTCTTCTACAACCAACTTTATGAAGCGGAATTCTCCCTGACAAGACAACAGTCACTTGGCTGACGCACCTTTTTGAAGCTCGAAGGTTTATTGCCGCGTTCACGAGAACATGCCATTGGTACTTAGCAGAAACTGATGAATCCACTCCACATATATTCTGTCTCTTTAAGATGATACACTTTAATATTATCCTGCAACCTACGCCCACGTCTCCAACAGTTATCTTCCTTTCAGATATCCAGCTACGAGGATGTATGCATTTCTCATTTCTTCCATGCGTGTCACATTATACACGTACGCCTGTCTCATTCTCTGTGATTTGATCACATGAATAGTATTCGATGAAAAGTAGCCTACAAATAGTGAAGTTTCTCATTACGCAATTTTATCAAAAGTCCTGTTATTTCCTGTCTTAGGATCAAGTTCCCCTAAGCACACCACCCTCGATCTATGCCATCTCAGGGTAGGGGATCAGTATCCGCACCACACAAAACACAAGGTCTTCTATACATTTTGAGCTTTAAGTTTTCACAGAAGGTTCTTATCAAAATGACAGTAAACACACTCGTAATTTCTTTGTGAATATAATTATGTTTTGTTATAGAAACCCAAAGGATCCGAAGTCGAAGGCTCTATGTAACATTTAATAACATGTCATCCCTTTACGGTGAGGAGCTGCTGGCCCCTGCCCAACTTCCAAACTGGAGTATCACCCCTTATCGGCAGTTTGAAACTGTCCATTTAGAACACTGGCTATATCTTTCTTATCTAGAGGCTGTGTTCCGCAACTGAGGATGCCTCATGCCGGGGTGACAAGGGACTCGTATACGTTTGAAATAAGTATCATGAGATTTCAGGACTTGAGACACTTCAGTTCGTTTTATGGTTTACAATTTATTAATTAAACGGCTACCGGCAATGAACTCCTTTTGAAATTACCTCCTGTTATGTAAGCCGAAGGTTCATCACTCTGCTCACAAGAGCCCGACACTGACCCATATTACTTGCCAAATTAATCAAATCCACAGCCTCCAATCCTATTTCTTTAAGCTCACTTTTAATATTATTTTCCAATCTAAACCTTGGTCTTCCAAGCTGTGGATATACACCTCCAAATCGTTCTGGCATTGGAAATGTAATATATTTTAAGCCTGGAACCAAGTCAGCACAGAACGGACTTGCCGCCGAAGACACTACACGACCACACGACAGCTGACCGTGATTACATACCGTTTCATACTATCGAGCGCCGGCTGGTAGTTCAGTTGCCACTGCGACGTGGTGCGATACGGACGGACCTAACCGCAGTCTACCAGATGTGACAACTGAACAGCTTCATCAGTAACTATCGCGAACACCATGGTGACGGCATACCTGAGGCTCGATGTGAACACATAGCAGTTATATGTGCTGTGGAATAACATTACAACGAAGATATACTACCAAAATTTTCATCGGCAATTTACTTTGCGTATTTTATAGTGTGGAATTTGTTAAAAATGATTCTCAAAAGAGAATTTGGCCATCTAGTAATATTCACAGCTGTACTGCTTCAGCTAGGTACGTATCACCGCAACATTAACTATCTATCTACCTATCTATCTATGGCTCTGCAGCCCTTCGTTGGGCATTCGCCGCTTTTCGGTTTCTTAATCCTATACACAGTCGGTAGGACTCATTGGATGGGGGATCAGCTCGTCACAAGGCCTCTTATTTATGGTTCTACAGCCCTTCGTTGAGCCTTCGCCGCTTTTCGGTTTCTTAATCTTATACACAGTCGGTAGGACTCACTGGACGGGGATCAGCCAGTCACAAGGCCTCTTATTTATGGCTCTAGAGCCCTTCGTTGGGCCTACGCCGCTTTTCGGTTTCTTAATCTTATACACAGTCGGTAGGACGCATTGGACGGGGGATCAGCCAGTCACAAGGCCTCTTATTTATGGCTCTACAGCCCTTCGTTGGGCTTTCGCCGCTTTTCGGTTTCTTAATCTTATACACAGTCGGTAGGACTCACTGGACGGGGATCAGCCAGTCACAAGGCCTCTTATTTATGGCTCTACAGCCCTTCGTTGGGCCTACGCCGCTTTTCGGTTTCTTAATCTTATACATAGTCGGTAGGACGCATTGGACGGGGGATCAGCCCGTCATAAGGCCTCTATCTATACAGAGAACAAACGCACACAGATTGCGATTCGAACCCAAGACCATAGTGTTCGAGCGGGCGAAGATGGTTCATACCTTAGACCGCGAGGCCACTGTAATCGGCCGTCACATTATCTATTTCCAAGGAATGCAGGACTTACTTAACGAGTAATGTATAAGGAGTGGACCATAATAATCCGGCCCTTGCATTGCGACCTTCAATGATCTATTGTGCTTAACTTAATGAATAATGAGGCGGTCTGTATAGGCAAAGGAAAATGACTGGGACAAATCTTCGTACAATCATCTTAAATTAGAAAGCTACTCTATATTTTAGTAGAGACTGTTAATTGTATTAATTATATGAAGCTGACAAATTGAAAATGTGTTCAGGCATTAAAGTATCTCGTGATTTTTATAATAATCACAAAGCATACGTATAAAGTTAATTTATCGAGGAATTGCCCTCTGATTCCGTTCTTGGCGCTGAAGGACGAGGAAAACAAGTACTAACTAACTGAAGGCTCCATTACAGTAAGAATAAATACAATCGTGCTAATGATGCAGCCTAACTAATTAACAGCAGCCCATGCAGAAGAGTCCCACCTGAGAAGATAATGGTTTACTAACACGTTCATACGAGCCCGCAATGAAGCAGCCTGCCCCTCTTAGGCTGGGACCACACGAGCGCACAAAATGCGTCCGTTGTAACGAACGTCGTGAGGTCCGTTGTAGAAATAAACAAGAGAGGCGAATGCTACGCTTCCTTCTGGCTCCATGGCAGACAAAAAACTACGCACCGCATTCTGCAACTGTGTGGTGTCCTCAGCAACGTCCGTCATAAAGTACGTTCGTTGCAACGGACGTACTTCGTGCGCTCGTGTGGCCCCAGCTTTAATCCACTTTCTCGACAACAAAACCAGCAATGTTTAATGAACATGCTTATTATGAAGGTCAGAGGAAGTGGCTGTAGCATTATAAATACGTGTACGTGTATAACTGGAATAATATAAAGCGGAAACACTAAAATACAAAATAACTGTTACTTGGAAGTCATATTACCTCTTCGGCAGGACACGTACGCACGTAAGAGGTACGAAAATTCCCGCGGGACAAAATGCGTCTGTTTGCAGCTAAAAAACAAATTGAAGAAACGTAAAGTGAGAAGTGTATTAAAAATAAAGTACGCCAATTTCATGTAGATTTATGTAACCGTATTTGACAGACCTATTATTAGTAAGACTAAGGCTGGGGCCACACGAGCGCACAAAATGCGTCCGTTGTAACGAAAGTACTTCATGACGGACGTTACTGAGGACACCACACAGTTGCAGAATGCAGTACGTAGTTTTCTGTCTGCAATGGAGCCAGAAGAAAGCGTAGCATTCGCCTCTCTTGTTTATTTCTACAACAGACGTCACGACGTTCGTTACAACAGACGCATTTTGTGCGCTCGTGTGGCCCCAGCCTTAAAGCAATAAAACCGGCCCTCCCCAAGCAACGCGAAATATAATCACTATCAAATTACGAGTAAAGCTGACGTGCTTAATTAAGCACCACGCTATAAATACGAACGGGTGAGCAGAGGTAGAGTCTTAAGCATTCTTAACTTGGACAAGACTTGTAGGTGAGTGGCCACTTTCACGCTCTGGCTGTTTTATTACTAGTGTCCACCGGATACGAGAACCGGCTGAAGTGTACTGCAACTATTGTGTAGTATCTAATTCTTTCTTTTCAAAGCACTGCTTTTGTAGCCAAAATCAAAGTGAATGTGAACCAATAATTTTCACGAATATGAAATTACTTAATAATCACAGTGAACAGAAAGTAAATTAATAATCACAGTGAATACAAACTAATTAATAATCACAGCTAATAAAAAAAGTAAGTAAAGCTTTCCCTGTAGCAGGCCGTGAAGGCCCATAGGGTTGTGAGACGTTGAGGGTCCCACATTATCTAGACAATCGGCTCAATGATGGCGGTAAGGTTGTCAGCCTTACGCGCCGGCCGCGCTTTACTCCCCAGGAAAATTATTTAATTAGTTCCTGGTACTCATTTCGTTTAGAGGCTGAGTAAACCCCAGGGCCTAGTGCGGCTGGAAGGATTAGGTCAATTGAAAAAAATCCAGTGACCCCATCGGGACTTGAACCCGCGACCTTCAGGCTTGTAGCATAGTGGCTCAACCAACTACGCTACTGAACTGTTTATTAATACTTAATAAGAATTAAACTGACCAATAACCACATTCATGTTACACGTTACTTTGAAAGAGCCTCCACTTCAGCATTAGAACAATTTTCTATTTGTGGAAATGTCTAAACATTGACAAAATTAACCTTGGTAAGGTAAACAGGTAAAGTTGTCCCTGTAGTTAGCTATGTAAGCATTACACCATAAAGGCGTATAGGGGAGTGGGTGTATAGACCCATGTTTTCTTGACCTGGGCACTAGTTGGAGGAGAGTGGTCAGCTTCACGTCCCTGCTCTTTACGCCCGGGGAAAGAGCCCCCGGTACCCATTGGACAGGAGGTTGGGTGGACCCCAGGGCCGGTCTGAACGACATGCAGAAGTGAAAATTCTTGACTCCATCGGAACTCGAACTCCGACCCCTCGGTTGTTCAGTCAGCAGCTAGTCGCTGTACCGACTGAGCTATCCCAGCTCACTATTAACCTTGGTATAAAATATAACTTATTTGATTTCCCAGTCCGCGAGAAACAAGACCTTCAACTAAGAACAATGTCACATTAGCATTCTTCGGCAAGTTGTTAACCTGAGCAAAACTGGTCTTTAATGATGGTTTGACTGTCTCACAATTTCAAAATTTTTTCATAATGGTTAAGTTTCTAGCACACGATCATGAAGTATTTCCCTCCACGATGAGTTAACTTTTCTGATGACAAATATCACTCAATTCAAATTCGCTGTCATGTCTGTTTTCGTGGGTATCCGACTAACGAGTTTGAGACTTGGTGTCAGATGGTATTGAGGTTAATGGCCTGCAGACAGATGGCGCCTGAGATAGTCTGATGACTAAACATTAACTCCACTGATATATGCTTATGTCGGTGACTAATATAAACACGATTACACTGAAAGTGACTAAGAGAAGAGACAGTTTAGTCGTTTAACGATTAGTGTGAAACGGTATAGAAACAGTACCTGGAATAACGCGTTTGTGTGATTACCTCATCCTATGAAAGTAAAATCAGCATGTGTATGAATTGCCTTGGTGCTGTCCCGATATGAGAATAGTTGTGGTACAAACAGTAAAGTCAACAAAAGGGTTCATAGTTATTAATAAACAGAAAACACTCGGAACATTTGATATCACGTTCATAAATGCCTGATTTTTTGTCGCCACTAAGCAGTGAGAGTCGGTAAATCAGTTTGGACCAATCAGGACCAAGAAATTTTTCGTTTTATAAGTAAAATGACCGAGCAAAATTATTTATGACTACTGATTGTTAAATGAAACAGTATTCTCCTGAATAAATATGTATTCATGAGGTCTCATTAAATTTTACACACATGTGCAACACTATATGAATGATATCCGAAAAGTAAAGATACGAAGTCCAGAAAATATTTGTAAAGTATTTTTTGGAGCACTTTTACAACACACCTTTATTTACTTTTCAACAGTCACCATGGATTGCAATGCACTTAGTGAGCAAGGGAACGAGATTTTTATTCCAGCGTCGTAGAAACATCCTGCCTCCTCTCTTAGGAGAAGAGTTCTTGACACTTCTGGACACTGTTGATGAAGTTCATCGGCGGTCAATTGTCTGTCAGCACGAAAGTTTTCATCATTTTTTTTGGATGATTTCATCAGTCACAACGGATGACCTTCAACTCCTCATTTCATTATGAACATCCCTTCTTCCAGCTTCAAATTCACGACACCATTTTGCCACTGTTCATAACATCTTCGCCGTAAACAGGAACAAGTTGGCGATGAATTTCAGCAGCAGTTTCTCCTTTCGCGTGAAGAAATCGCATTACTATATGAACCTCACATTTGGCGGGATTTTGAATCGACACGGCCATTTTAAACACAAACACAAGCACAACGTTGCCGTGCTCTGGCCGGTGAACTGAGCTCTGTCATATGGTTCCTATCTCAGCACTACCATTCCTGGGAGGGAAAAAATCCCTTGCATATTTTACTGGACTTGTATCGTCACTTTCCGGATATCCCACGCAATAGTATTGATAGCAGTAATAACAATAATAATAATAATATAACAGAAAATGGAACTAATTTTCGTATCCGAAGCATAATCTTTAAACAGTTTTGAAAGACCAGGATTACTGGGTTTTGGACTTTGCCCATCATCCGGTATTATATTTAACACTGAAGAACACAATGTTTCGGATACTGGATCCGTTTCCGTCCTCAGGTGAAGGGGAGGGAGACA